TGGATTTATACTTACTAGATTATAATATACTAAGTAAGTTATATTAATACTTTGCTGATATAATCTCAGAAAATTTATCTACTAGTCCTGTATTTTAGATACTGTGCTAGTACAGAGAGTGTTTTTCCAGAATATTACTATTTACCAGGTATATTCAGTGGTATTTACGCTAACTGTAAATAGCCTGATACTGGTAACAGCTGTACTATCTGAGATTTAGTATAGAGTATTCTATAGGAAGTTCAGCTTTTTATACCTGTTATTAGCAGGGGATTACCTGTATCAGGGATCTTTTGTAAGGATGCTATTATTATAGAAGAAAAGAAAAAGAAGAAAAAAGTGGTTATTATACTAATATTTTTAATATATTCAGATTCTCTAATCAAGGAGAAGGATCCGGACATTACGGAGGTGCTAGTCATTATTATCATTGATAATGAGTCTATTATTATTAAGGATAATTAGGACCCGTGGACGGAGCAAGCCTAGGTAAGTATAATACTATTTCCTTAATTATTAATATATATCTGTACCTGTACCTGTACTCCAGTTATACGGGATACCTGTGTATAATATCCTGGGTAAGACTTGTATTTCTTTGTAGTGCTCAGGACTAGTAGTTATCTGTATAGTAAAGCCAAGCAAGTCATCTAATGGTGTACGTACAGCTTCATATAGATACTAAATATAGATATGTTAGATAAGCTACATGATCCAATCAGCTACATACTAATTCTGCCGGCAGTAAACACCAAAAATCGTTTTTGCCCGATGGCCGCTATTAACCGCCGTAGTCATCTTGCCAGGTCCCCTTGTTCTTATTTTTGCTTTTTGCATCGTTTTTCTTTTTATTCCCACCGCATCTCAATTGCCGATCGGGAACTCTCTCTCTCTGGCGCCATGTTTCGACTCAAGATGGAGGTGCTCACGGCCATCGCCGCCTGGGCATTCGCCACGGTCTCACAGCAAATCCCTCGCTCCTCCAGCTGGGAAAGTGACCTCAAGACTCTCTCGGGTAGACTGTCCAACACCTCCCAGGTCTATTTCCCGGGCTCGAGTGGTTTCACAAATGCCACCACGCGGTGGTCCGTTCTCGATGAACCCGAGGTTAATGTTGTCGTGGTTCCTGGCACCGAAAACGATGTCGCCGAAATTGTATGTCTCCAACCTTTGTAGCCATCCCTTGATTTGCCTGTTTCTCCCCTTCTACCTCACCTTCGGCCTTTCATGTCTTTTGACTTGATTTCGTTGCTAATTGATCCTGCAGGTGAAATTCGCCAATCAGAAGGATGTTCCCTTCCTGACCTACAATGGTGTGCACGGTGCACTCATCTCCCTCGGCGAAATGACTCATGGCATCGCTATCTACATGGGCCAGCTGAACAGTGTCGAGGTTGCAGCTGATGGCAAGACCGCGAATATCGGAGGTGGCACCATGTCCAAGGAGGTCACCGATCAGCTTTGGGCCGCAGGAAAGCAGACTGTGACTGGAACCTGCGAATGTGTCAGTCTTGTCGGTCCTGCTCTTGGTGGTGGACATGGTTGGCTCCAAGGCCACCACGGCCTCGTTTTGGATCAGTTTGTATCGATGAATATCGTCTTGGCCAACGGCACCCTGACTCACATCGACGCCAACTCGGACCTCTGGTGGGCTGTTAAGGGCGCAGGCCACAACTTTGGCATCGTCACTTCCCTCACTATGAAGGTCTATGACATTGAATACAGCGATTGGGCCATCGAAACGCTGACATTCAGTGGCGACAAGGTTGCCGAGGTCTACCAGGCTGCCAATGACTACCTGATCAAGAACGGCACCCAGGCCGCTGGCGTGATTAACTGGTCCTACTGGATGAACAATGCAGATGCCGATCCCAACAACCCGGTCATCATCTTCTATATCATCCAGGAGGGAGTGAAAACCGTCGATTCCGTCTACACCGCGCCTTTCCGCAAGATCGGACCTATTTCCGTGTCGCCCAACAACGGCACATACAAGGATCTCGCCGCATGGACCGAGGTTGCTGTTGACTCCGCACCCTGCCAGAAGATGGGCATGGCCAACCCCCGTTACCCGATCTACCTCGAAACGTACAACGTCACTGCCCAGCAGACGGCATGGGACGTCTACGCCAATGCCACCCGCGGCTCCTCGGCGTTCAACAACTCCATCTTCATGTTCGAGGGATACTCTGTTGGCGGTGTCCATAATATCGACAGCCGGTCGAGCGCTTTCGCATTCCGTAATGAGAACGTGCTGGCTGCTCCCATGATCAACTACTTCCCTGACGGCGCCGAGCTTGATCGCCGCGGGGCTAATTTGGGCCAGGAGCTGCGCAACATTCTCTTTGCTGGTACTGATCGCGAGGATATCCGCGCGTATGTCAACTATGCCCATGGTGATGAGACGCCCCAGCAGCTGTATGGTAGCGAGGGATGGCGTCAGCAGCGTCTGCGGTCATTGAAGGCCAAGTATGACCCTACGGGCAAGTTTAGCTACTATGCACCTATCCCTTGAAGGGGGTATAGAAAATCAAACCTGCGGCATTTGTCAACGCTTAATATCAATGAAAAGGATTATTTTGCATTAACTTGCGGAATTCTTAGTTCGCGCTTAGAGAGCAGCCACACTATAGAACTTTAGTCAACCTGCAGAGGTCGATGCACTGATTCCATGCATATCGTAACATTGCCATAGAGACTTTGATCCATACACAATTTGAGAAACATAACTGGGGGTGATTCAAATTAATGGTAGCACATTGAAATTCCCTGGTGAGCTATTAACAGTGTTTGCATCAGGAAAGGAACCAGAGAATGCCTGATGTCGGTCCAACTTCCCATTACCCACATAACTAAGTAGCACGCCATTGCTAAACAGAATAAACATCCCCCGTCGGACCGAGCCAAAGATTAGCCTCTCGCAAGAAATGCGCACTTTCATACCGCACAATCTCAATCCGATGCATCGGATCCACTTCTGACGGCTCGGGGAACGACACTGAACCCTCACCCTCCCAGATCTCCTTCGCCGTGATTTTAAGCGCCAGAGGCATCAACTCCCTCACAGATGGAGGCTGTCCTGCAATCGGCGAAGGCAGCACACGTAGATTCATACAGCGTGTTTCGACCGCCATCCCTACATCCGGGACCGCCTGCTTCCGAACGGGACTGTAGTTCATCTGTAGGATCTTCTGGTGTGGAGGGTGCTCGACATGTCCGCGCATCACTCGGGTTCCACATGGCTCAGACGGATGGAACTCCACTGTACCGAACTTCTTGGGAAAGCCGTATTGCTCTCGGCCAGCTAGGACGGGAGAATCGTTGTCAAGGATGAGGGAGAGGAAAAATTCATATTTCTCCCCGCGGTAGCGCACGTCCACGCCGTGGGTGTACTCGTTGTATGGGCCGAAGGAAGTCATGCTGTGTCGGAGGAGGCGGACGGTGATGAGAGGCTCGTCCTCCAGTTCAAGCATGTTGGGAACGAAGGGAGCGACGCTTTGTGCGGTCGTACGGTAGGTTATGACTAGGATGGTTGAGCCGGTGAAGTCGCAGTCGCCGGTGGGATATGGTGGTGCGTATTGAGGAATGGCATCCCCAGTGAGCTCGAAGGTACCGAAAGGCATTTTTGATGTCGTGCTTTTGATGGCAAGGCTTACTAGTGGGGTAGTTATCCCTTTTAGAGAGCTTTCGCGGGACTTTGCATGGGCAAACTCGGGGAGGGGATCTCAGATATACCATAATCCCAGCAGACGACCATGGCAGCTGGGTGGGTGGATTGGGGCTGGGATACGATGTAGATTACGAGTTAGAGAAGGGGTCCAGCCATTTTCTCCGTATCGCTGCCGAGCGAAGCTTAATTGTTCCAAACAAGATGCTTGTTTAAGCTTATTTCTCAGTGACCCGGTCTCGAATACGAGGGTCTCTTTGTTCCCCACCAAGATCAAACTCTGTACCCGAGCAAGTCTAGGCTGTTTTACTGCAAATCTGACCATGAGATTTGTATTCTCACGGGATGTACAGCCGCCGGCTCCGAACCTCTGCCGGGGTTGGAAGGGTGCTGCAGCTTCCTACCTTCAAGCGACAGAGCTATCTGGACGTCAGAGGATGACAGTTCAGATGATTGGTTCGTCCAAGCAGGTTTGTACTTCATGAATACTTAATGGGGAGTGGAAAGTTCATCAATGATTAGACATCAAATGTCTATAAATGGCAGATCACAATAAACCCAATAACACGGGTCAGTTGGAGGGCCAAATGAAGTCATTTCGTCGCATTATGTGAAGGAGATAGGTAATATATAGAAAGCCGGACACCGATCAGTACGGCTATACCTACGCAGCCTAGTTTGGGAACCCCTAAGCAAAAAAAATAAAGATAAAGATAAAAAACAAATGATACGAAAGAGAAGAAAAGGAGAATCAAGATAAAGTGCTGAAACTAGCGGTCGCAGTATATTTTTGCTGCCGAAAAAAGGAGTCTCCCCGACTGGGAGTCGAACCCAGGTCTCCCGCGCTTGTTCCCGAAAGGGATTGACAAGCGGAAATCATGACCGTTAGACCATCGAGGATTGGATAAAGGTTTAAGCGAGAATCTTATCTCATGAACATTAATTGTAATAGAAAGTGTACGCCTTGCAAGCGAAAGGTTCGCTGGGCTGGTTGGATATGGGTGAAATCTGAAGTACTCAATGCCAAAATGGGGCGGTATTTCCAACCAAGTAATCTTCACAACTTCAGCTTTTACATACGCACTGGCTAGGATAATCTCTATTTACTGGTTCTAGGTCGTGAAACAGTCGTGCTGAAGTAGACTTCCTATTGTCATGATTATATATTTTTGACAAGGAGTGTCTGTATAAGTATACATTGAGTACATTTATATATATCGACTGTGCGATGATCACGAGCATGATGCAACTGCCTCATCATAACCTCGACACCTTCAATTTCAACCCAGTGAGAACCCCATCACTCTCGCGAATACGACATTGTTGGGCCATTCTACTTATGGCGGCCTCGCACCAGCCAATCCCCAATGGCAAATAGCATCACAAAGCCCAACACCGGCCCAGCATAATTCATGGTCTCCCCAGTGACCGGCACCTCAGACGGAAAGGGTAAAAAGATGGAGAAGTAGATGGCGAAAAGGATTGCTACCAGATTGATGGGCAGCCCCCACTTTCCCAGAGAGAATGCCCCCTGTGGAATGTCTTTCGGTGCGGTGAACCTTTTCCACACCAGAAGAACCAATGGGATCAGATATGAGATATATAACCCCAACGTACTCAAGGAGAGAATGGCGTTAAAGGCGGCTGATGACCCGATCTGAATAAAGGAGAGAAGAATTACCAATGTTGTAACGAGGAACAATGCCCGAATTGGGATTTTAAATCGTGGATCAACCTTGACGAAGAAATCAGAGAACGGAAGGCCGTTGTCTCGCGCGAAGGCCCATGTAAGTCGGGTGACAGAAGCAAGACCATTGAACAGTGTAATCCAGCCCGGAAGCATGCCCATGGACATAAGCACGTATGTGGCTGCTTTGGAGCCGGTGGCTTGGTAGGCGATGGTAATGATGGGGTATCCTGTCGGACTCGTAAGGGCAGCGGTGTAGTCGCCCATACAATAAAGGACGGTGATGAGATAGCCAAATGCCATGATAGAGTTGATTATGGTGCCGTAGATCATCGACCGAGGAATAACGACTTTAGCGTTCTTGACTTCCTCCGACATGTGGATGATGCCGTCGACTCCTAAATTGATTGGTTAGTTGGTTCGTAGTATGGTCAGGGCGGGGGTGATGACGCCCAATAGTCCCACGGAATACACGACTCCTGGGTTTTCCCAGCCACTGAGGCCACTCACAAAAGTATCCCAGACAAAAGCATTGGAATTGCGCGGGGCCAGAATAACAAATGTCGCAATCATCACGGGAAGGAAGACAACGTGCATCACCCCGGCTGCAACTTCGATGATGGCGAGCAGGCGCCTGGCGAAGATATTGATGACGATCGGGATTAGGACTACTGCCCACATGAGCAGAGTTCCCTGCCACCGTTTTGCATCATAGTCCGGATAGGCCAGGATAGCCATTCCTTCAATCTCGGTGCCGATGAAATAGGGCGATATGCAGGCCAGTGCAGCCCATGAAAAGAACTGGCTTGTGTTAGAAAAAGGTACAGTGCTCGAGGGGCCAACAAACGTACGGTAACCCAACCTGTACAGATCCACGACTAGTCAGTTTATTATGTCCAGCCAGAATACAGATGTAACTGTGAAGGTGTAACCTTGAAAGAAACTGATGAAGCGCCGGTAGCGTGGTGCCAGAACGTAGCTCCAGTGATACTGCGCCCCAGCCGTCGGGTGCCTGGAGGATCGAAATGTTTGATCAGCAATAGTTTCTTGAAACAACTCTATAGTGAACAGGAACCACGTACACTGATGCGAGTTCAGCAAGTGAAGTGGCGATTGCCAGATTCCCCACACCACTGATTATAATTCCATACACAATGGCAGCAGGACCTCCGTTGAAAAGACCGGCCTGCAGGCTCCCTCCAGCCGATTCCCATGACGCCAGAAGAGTCGCAGAGGACGCGAGGGAGGAGAAGAAATTCAAGTATCGCTGGAAAGAACCATGTTAGCATGCGGAAACTGGGGGGTGATTCAGATGAGGGCAATCATGTACGTCTAGCTTCTGTCGCTGACGGTACTCGACGCTGCTGCTTGCAGCACCACGCGGGCTTCCATCAGCAACCGTGGATCGGACGGCACTGCCGCTTTTCATTTCAACCTCCTCATCTAGCATCTTATACAAGCGGTGTCAATGATATCAGTTTTCAGAAAAGAGTGCACCAAGTGGCGGTGCTGATGGAAGAATCGCCCACAATGCAACTTTCTAGATAGGGACAAATGGCACCAAAAGGACTAGGAAATATTTCGGAACCTCGAGCGTCCGACTTCGGGGTAGGCTCAAATAAATGCAGGGATGCCATGCAGGCCGATTTCAGGGAACCCTCCGGACATTGTCTGGAAGTGGAATGATGGCGCTGTGTCTTTGCAGACACTCTGGCCGATTCTGGTGACGCGGCATGCGACCATCTGCAACTGTCGTTTGAGCGAAAGAGCATTCTAAGCAAACAATGGGCAGAAACATCGAACTAAAAGAGGGCGACCCCGCTGTTTAGATTGAGTGACATGGGGTCTCGACGCCGGTTAATGGGACTAACGGCACGGAAGGCATTTAGGGTGCATTAGCAGCATCTCCGGGCTCGGACCATCGGAGAATCCACCACTGATCCCCCACAGCGTAAGTTGCGCCTAGAATGACTCCGTCCGTTGCGACAAAATAATTAGCTAGCTTCAGCGGAGCAATCTCGCAGGAAAATCTATACTCGCCAGGACAATTACGAGGGTTGGATCACAGATAGCAGCCAGGCTCCTGGGCCACAATCCTAGAGTTTGGAAGTGCTAGGCATGTCAACAGTGGCAACAAAACGTAACTTTCAAAGGAAAGTCTTTCTGCAACATCGAACACAGGGGTGATGGTATGATCAATTGTTGGTGCCTGACTCCAGGGGACTAGTGTTGAACCGGCGACATGAGGTCTCGTCCACCTCGTTTACACGCCGACCAGCACGACAAGGATTATGATCCCGGTAGCCAAGCATACTCCGATTACTGCGCCAATAAACAGATATCCTCTCTCGAGATTTTACTTTCGCTATAATCTGCTCTGTCATCCGACTCCGTCTCTAACTTATTGACTATTCGATTATGTCCTTCCATCACCGTGATCATGGCTGAGACCGAAGCTCCCTTCGAGACACTCTCAGATGACAATCATGGACCACTCATAACTCTCGTATCTGTTGCACTTTAAATTGTCGCCATTACCTTTGTGGCAGCAAAGCTATGCTCGGTGCTCTACTTCAAACAGCGTCGGTCTGCTGTCCATACACCCGTATGGCTAGCTCTGGTGGGTGGTTAACGGCCCACGGAGCACAGAATCCTCTAATCAGTTATTGTACTTAGGTGCTACTAATTGCCGAGGTGGCAGTGATACAAAAAGGAGTTGACGGTGGGATAGGCCGACATATTGCCAGTCTGAGTGACACAGCCATCCAGACAGCTAGCAAGGTCAGTTCTTTCCATAGCATTTCCAACGAGCAGTCACCGAACTTGAATCTGTGATTTAGTACCTCTACGCTGCGCAGCTCCTCCATGTCATTGTCCTCTCATTATCAGAATTCTCTACCACGCTGCTCGTCTGGAAATTGACTCCCCATCGCGGCATCCGCCAGACTTGTCGCATCACCGTCGGCCTTGTAGCGGCCTGGACCATTTTCGCCGTCTTTGGGATTGCATTCCAATGCGAGATGCCTGACCCGTGGCTCTACAGCTCCTCTCACTGTGCTGGGAAGGTATGCATACTACAGGAGACTTGTGGATGTGTGTGTTTTGACTTTACATAAGGGCTCGATTCTCTATCCTATCTCGATAATACACATAATAACAGAACTTGTCATCGTGGTCATCCCATTCTTCATGATGCGCAATGTCCAATTGACACTCACGACAAGGGTGAAGATTCTAGCTGCTTTCTCAGCACGCATAATGTACCTTGCCCATCCAACCCCTAGGAAACATAAGCCACTGACCAATGGTACAGTGTAGTAGCACTGGCCATTGCACACCTCGCCCTTCTACCATCATACCTTCTCTCGACTGATATAACATGTTAGTACCATTTTTTTCCTCTTCACCCACTCATACTGATTTCACCTTGAATCTAGGGACCGTCGTTAACCCCACAATCTGCCAACAGGCCATGACTTGCTCAACCGTCACCATCGTCTGCCTACCCACGCTGTACCATATTTTTGCGGGCTTACATTCCGGCCTAATCACCACCAGACTGCCTGATGAGGTCGAGCTGAAACATACTCATCCATACGGACACAATTCTACACTTGGAAGTCATGGAAGTAAAGGGAAAGGGCACACGGAATTGGCGACAATTGACTCGGTCGTTTCTGTAAAGAGGAAGTCGACCATCAAAAGGTCAAGCTTCAGTGATAGCACGAAACGTTTGACTGATGGAGACAAGGGGGGCGGAGTGTTAATGACGGTGGACATTACAGTGGAGGTAGAGGATCGATAGCTCTCATGGCCCTTAATAATATCCCTATACAAATAAAACCCATTATAACACACAGTGTTTGGAAAGCTTTACTCTTCAACTTCTCCAAGGAAACTGCTTATATATCGTCTCAATATAAGCCTCAATTATTTTAACAGATGACCCATCCAGGATAGCACGTAAGAAAGGTCAGGCATATAAGACGGGATAGGTCTCAATGTTTCCCATTAGAGCAGCAAAGGGGGGATTTTCCAATCACCCACAACCTGTTTCCACAACTGCATGAATGCCAGGATCTTTGCTTCACCACCTGCACTAGTAATCAGCATTAGCCCCTGAGGCTGGCCCAGCCCACCAGGACCTTCCAAGCGATCAAGTGGAACCATAGCAGTGGGATAGCCTGCAAGAGCCGCCACTGCACAAATTGCACAATCACCTGGACCAATCATCAGGTTAAGATGATTTTTCTGAAGTGTCGCATCGATGCCGTCGCGACCGGCCAAGTGTTGAGCGTAGGCCTTGGCTGCCGTAGCTTTCTCTCCTGTCAATGTTGATTTGAGGGTCTCCTCGAGGTCAGTTTGATCTGTATGTGCTACGAGATATGAGTATTCGGACTTTCAAACATATGGAACATATGGTGAAATCACTTACGCTGCGGCATGGCAGATGAGGCATGTTCTCCATTGTATTGGATCAGTTTTGGAACCGATGTGACCTTGGGCTCTACCAGGAGGGAGCAATACTCTTCAAATAACCTTGGAAATTCATGGACTGTAATACTCATGAGCCATTGTCGACAACCATTCTGGGGAGGCGATAAGCGTACATGCAACGGTGTAGTTTACGCTTTTGCCTTCAAAGCGAAGGCTCTCCATCGTCGGCAAATCTACGGGGTAGACAACCCGGCCTCCTCGAAGAGATATTTGCGCTCTTGCCCAATCGTACCTATCGAGCTATCAAGCGTCAGGTGAAGCCCGCTCGTACCATAGAATAGAAGGAGACTTACAATCTGACTTTCCATATTCTTGTCCTGGCTCTTTTGGAATCCAAACGCATCCCATACAATTGGATCGACAAAACCGACCGAGACGTCGCTCCACTTTGCAGAATCCAAGCGCGTGCCATTGAGAAGTGGCATCAACAGACCTAGGTCTTCGGGACACTTAGCCATAGCACCCAACTTATCAAAGTCTTTGCTTAAGCGAAAGATTCCGTCCATTGGGACACTCCCTCGAGTGGCAGTGATAGAGTACAATCCCGCCCGATTTGCTGGCATGCAGACTGAACCCGAAGTTTCCGTCCCCAGCGATAACGGCGCAAAGCCGGCTGAAACACCCACTGCCGACCCAGACGAGGAGCCTCCCGGTCCAGAGCGACCGATGAACAGATCGTTCGATCGAAAACCACCCTTGATATAAGGTGACTGAGTTTGTCCATTTACTGCTGACCAACCGGCGGTCATGCACGTCGCCTTCAGGCCGCAGAATTCCGTCAGACTGGCTTTGGCGAGGATGATCATGCCACGGTCTAGAAGAGTTTCTATGATAGATGCGTTCTTCCGTCCATAGGTGTCCTTGAACGCAGCGGCGCCGACCGTAGTAGGTAGTCCTAGGGACTCGGACGTGATGATCGCGTCTTTTATTATAATTGGAATTCCATGAAGTGGGCTTCGAATCTTGCCCTGCGATCTTTCGTCGTCGCAGGCTGCGGCTTGAGCAAGAGCAGCTTCGGCATTGACGGAGATTATTGCATGCAGCTTCAGGCCAGATTCATTGTGCCGGACTATTTGAGCGAGGTAGGCCTTGACGATCTTCACACTAGTTGTGTGGCCCCGGTACAACAGCTGGCTAAGCTGAGTTGCCGTTGCGGTTAGGACGTCCCATTCATCCATGCTATCGAATTTATCCAATCGTCCTGATGTCTTTGGAGGACAATGTATTTGATAGAATCAAGGATATCTCATCCCCTGGATCTGTTTGCTAGAAATGTGATCATCGTAACCTACACTGACAGGCAGCAGTTTCATGTGGGTTGGTTATCTCTCTGGATATCATCGGCACATCCACTTTGGGTTAAGTGCTTACTCGCACGTCATGCAAGATAGCATATCAGCACTGGTCAATGACTGAAGAATCCTAGCTTATCTTCTATCTCACCCTAATGGATACATTCATAGGCGTAAATTTGGTAATCGGTTGTGGATAGTATAATTTGCCAGGGTTGGTATGGTGTTCATACTAAGGGAGAAGATGTAGCCTATTGAATGACTATAGGTTTCGTACTTTGCTACAATCAATGAGGACTGTCATCCCCGAAATCATCAATTCCCACCCACATACTTTTATCCGCATTGAGGCTCGGAGACATCGTATACATAGTTCTCTTCCAGGCCCTCCTGCACGATTTGCAGTGTAGCCAACACATCTTACTATTGCCGACGGTGCCCATATAAGTAATGCTTGAAGCGTGGATCGCTGGTTATAATCCCCTGAGCCAGTCGCTCAAACTCTTGCTCTAACTTCCATTGTTTCTAACTAAAAGTCCATATCGAAAGTATCTCCTGACGCAAGAGTGCATAGCTGTTCTGCGCACTATGACGATGTAAAAATGACTGGCCGGTCGTTCGGGACCTCAACAGCCCGAAAAAATCCACCGATAAGGCTGAAGGCCCGATCAACCATGGCAGGGTTGGGGTGTAGCCTAGTCCGACGACCAGTCGGAGAGGAACCACCCGAGAAGAGTGGTCTCGACGGCGCCACTTTGAGAACCGCAGCGTCAGATGCTTGGCTTAACATCAAACACCTGTATAACTCATGACTCATGGGGCAAAAAGCAAGGTCTGGTCCAATGGAGCCATGAATGAGCTTCAATCCTTTGCACATGAAGCGCCACCGGCAGAGACAGCGAGGCTCGGACTGCGGGGATAAGGCTGTCGCTGTTGCTGTGGCGCAGCAATTCACCGTCGGACTTAAAGCTCCGGCTGCTTAACTAGGTAACTAGCTCCGCAAGGCCGATAATGACTCATCAGCACATACCACATTGGGTTAGTAGCGGTGACGTATTGGGAAAAGCCCGAAGGGCATTAGGATATCCGAGTCGGCATATGCTAATCTCCGGGCTGTGGCGACGCCAATCGAGGAAGAAGGATTACGACGACTATCACAGCTTGTGGCGTAGATCATGTAGAGTAGCTATCATGGATGCCTGAAGCAGGATCTATATAAGGGAGACAGCTTACCTTGACAAACTTCCCTTGATCATCACAATCATTCCGAGTCCTCATTCTATACCCTCTCATCAATACCTTCTCCTCTTTACACAATCCAACACTCAAGCATTAGCTGAAAACTCATATCATACGAACCCCAACCACAACAAGTATACCATAAGAACCAACATGGCCAACATCCGTGATCTCAATCAACTCCCTCACTACTGGGAAGTCGTCGCCAGCATGGAAGAACCAAGCTTTGCTCACCCTTTCTTCGCCGGTTTCAACCACAACCACATGCCTCATGGCGAACACTTTGCCGGTGCTGGAGACTTCGATCTGCCCCATCGCGGCCGCCATGGCCCTCACCACCGCCGTCACCGCCGCGGAGAGCCTGTGACTGAAGACGAAGAACCTACCCAGACCGAGACTGCCGAAGATGACGAACCCTCCTCTTCCTCCTCCGACGAGGAAGACCATGACGAACCCCGGAAATGCAAGCGTCATGGTCGCCACGGCGGTTTCCATGCCAGAGGCGGCAAGGGCCGTCATGGACCCGGTCGCCATGGCCGCGGTCCATGGGGGAAATTCGACCACCCCCTTCATCCCGGCGCATTTGGAGCTTGGGGAGCTGATTTTCATGGACCCCACGGTGTATTTGGCCCCCATGGCGGCTTCGGCCATGGGCCGCATGGTCGGTTCGGGCCCTACGGGGGTAGACACATGCGCGGTGGCTTCAAGCATGGTGGTCGGGGCGGACCGCACCGTGGCTTTGGCCCATTTGGATTCAAGGAGTTCGGCCACCATCATCACGGCAAGCATCACAAGCGCGGCGACTTTTTCCACCCCGAGGTGGATGTATTCGATACTACTGAGGCCTTTCTAGTGCATGTTTCGCTTCCCGGAGCGAAGAAGGAAGCGGTGGAAGTGAAGTGGGACCCGAAGAAGTTCGAGCTGAATGTCAGCGGAACGATTGAGCGTCCTGGCGATGAGGAATTGTTGAAGACATTGGCGTTGGATGAACGTCGCGTGGGGACTTTTGACCGTCAGGTACGATTGGGCAGTATTTTCCAGCCCGTGGAGGTGCATGTCGAGGGCATCACGGCCGAGATGGAGAATGGAGTGTTGAACATCAAGTTGCCCAAGGTGGAAACGGATGTGGTGATGGTAACGCGTGTGGATGTGCAGTGAAAATTTTTTTCTTCTTTTTGGAAAGCGCTATCAGATTTCTTCCATGATGGAGTGATATGACTCAGGTGTTAAACTGTTTGTTGTTGTTATTGTTATCAAGATCGATGGTTATTTGCGATCATATTGTACTTAATGAAATGAAAATGGGATCTCTGATCCCCACATCTCCCACATGATGAAAATCTTCACAGTTGATGCTCAGTAATTAGGTAGTTAGTCAATTAGTACGAACGAGTACTACTTTGTAAAAACCAGCCAAAATGAGGAAAGGAATGACACTGGAGCACGTGATGTCTGCCTCGGCTTTCCGATCTCCTTCCGGATTTGGATATCCCGCATACGGGTTATACCAAAGTAGCAGTAGTGGTAGTAACTTCACCATCGAGGGATCCTAGCATTCAATTGTACAGTAACTAATTATGAGTAAGAGCAGATATTGTGCTTTTTAAATATACTTGCTACGACCGCTAAAAGACAGTTGATGCCGGCTGCTAGTGTGCTTGTTAGTAGCTATAGTAGTGTAAAGTTCAAAATATATACGCTTGCTAGTAGGGCTGGCTCCGAGAAGGAGGGGTTCTTAAACTTGGTCGTGACAGTGAGGCCGGTTGGAGCTTGGCAATATACCAGCGTCTACAGTTTCGCGCATCATTAGCTTCACTGATGTAGGAATAATACTATGTTGAAGGGGTGTTGGAAAGGGACGTGAACTGTTCTGCATGCCTGAGGCCTGCAGGCAGGAGGGAAAGCGGGATGCGCCGCCCAATCCCACCAATCACAACCACTAATTGTTCTTGACATCAGCACTAGTCCCAATCGGGACTAACGCTGTCAGCTGCTTTGTGTACCCAGTCCAGTTAATACCCTACAAAGTACTACTGTCTCGGTCTCACCACCTCCAACATGGTGATGAAAGTCTTTCTATTTCTTTCTCAATCTCCTCCGGATTCAAGCATTCACCATTGATCGTCAGTTGTGCTCTGAATCAACCCTCATAGTCCACACTTGGAGAGAGCTGCGCCTACCACGGAGATCAAACGCTTACTTCCCGGCGCGAAGGTGGGTCACCAACCAAGTGTCACTCCAGCCACAATATTCCTCTTTCCCTCAAGCCAAATATGCTCTCCGCAGTGGCAACAAACTGACCCGCTCGATGAGCGTCTTAGACTCCGATACATATACCATCGATCGTGACCTTTTCCAAACCGGCAATCGACATGACCACCTTCAGTCCTTTCCCAGCCTACATCCTGGGTAGCCTGACCCTCGCCCTGGGCTGCCATGCACTGGCTCGCCCTGGCCCCGAGTATCCGCGTTTCGGCTTACCCTTCGAACCCGCCGCTTCTTCCGCTTCTACCCATGGCAACAAACGCACCCCTCCACCCGGCGCAGTTTCTCCCCTCATGTACATCAAGGGCATTCGAGAGACGAGCTACGGTCTGACACTGCTTGCCCTGCAGTACTACGGTCAGGAAACCGCCGTTACCATCTTCGCCGGCGTCTGCGCGCTGGTTGGCCTTGCCGATGGGTTCGTTGTCTGGGCGAATGGGGGCGAGGCGCTCAAGACCAAGGCCTTTGGACACTGGATTACATGCGTGGGATTTGGGGCGTGGGCCTGGTGGAGGGCTTGTGCGTAGGGAGTCTGGGACCAGTCCACAGATTGGCCTGATCCATAATGCTCGTGGAGTAAGCTGAGCTCTAAACGTAGCAAGGGATTTCCTGGTGGTTTAAATAACGTATAGCGTCCATTATAATATCGCCTTGATCATGATGGTCGTAGACTACGGCGTAAAACATGAAGTCATTTTTTTCAGGGAAGAATGGCCGACGCATACACATAATTGAAGGCGCTACAGCTGCTCCATCCGTTTGAAAGCAAAGGAAGGCTATTTTCACTCCTCATCTTTCCCCCATCTGGCACATTACTCCCCAACCTCCCGATCATCCTTCCAGAACACAAATTGGACGAAGGGCCACTTCATCGATGCCATGCGAATATGCCGTCCCCACAAATACAACGGGATAAAGAACAGCAGACAGCCTCCCGAAATGCCCGCCATGGCGCCAAAGGCAGCCGCATAGCCTGATTCGGCAATCCAGGTGTTGGTATAGAAAGATAGCAGGAACCCGAAGCAGGCTTATTGAGATGTCAGTGATACGGTTACTTCAACATAAAAGAACAAGAAATATGGGTCCTACATTTGAAAGCCAGCTGAGTGACGGCGACTTCACCAGCCACCGGTCGGTAAGCATCAACGCAATACACAAATGAGACATTTGTCCCTTGACTAATGGCAAATGATACTGTGTAATTGCATTAGCAAAGGTTAATGTCATAGGTGCGACGGGGGTGATATACATAATCCAAGACTAATCGTTGGCACAATCCAGTGCCAGGCGCGATCGGTGCCAAAGCCATACAGCAGTAGCGCCAATGGAGCGGCGATCACACTAGGTATAATAGCGGGCAGACGCATTTCCGGCTCTCGAATACCACCGTTGCGCTTGGTGAGATAATCGGCCACCCAGTCAGAAAAGGGCCCTCCCGCAAAGGTACCGAAGAAACAGCCCAGCATGCCGGCAATGAAGCACAATCCACTCTGCCAGGAAGCAAACCCATACGTTTCGCTAAAAGCAGTGGCAAAGTTTGATGTGACCGCCACGAGGAAGCCGATTGTCACGGACATGACGATGGTCGCCCAGAAGATCGGAGGCAGCAGAATGAGACCGAAAGGTCGGATGAACATCCGCCACAGGGACTCGTCTGTGTATGTGTGACCGGACCAAAAGCGCAGACTCTGCAGATAGCTCTGTCTGCGGGAAAGTCTCTCTTCTCCCCGGGACTCGACATGCTCGGCATGCTTCTGCGTGTTGTAAAGATCATCCGCATTATCTGTTCGACGAAATGCGGTCTCCGGGAAGAAGAAGACAACCACAATCCACAGAGCACCGACAAGTCCGCAGCCGACCCAGTATATCACACGCCAGGAGTGATTGATCGTCACCAGGCCAGAGATGATGATGCCAAAGGAGACACCCGCGCTCAAAGCGGAGTTATAGATTCTAGGGAGCGGAGGAGAATCAGCTTCAGAGCTTGCATATTGATCTACATCGTTCACTTACGCCATGCCATAACCGCGCTGGTGGAGATAGAAGACATCGGCAATAGTGACTGGGGCTAGACACTCTCCTGCCCCGGCACCGACACCCAGGATGGTACGGGTGGTAAGCTCACCGGCATAGGTCTTTGCCAACCCGGCTCCCAGAATCATGAAGAAATAGAGCACGTATGCTGATACGTAGATGGGCCGCCGACCATACTTATTGAGGAGTGGAACCCAGATCAAGTTGGAGACGCCCTGCAGCAGCGCACTATTGTTGAAAAAGTAGGCTGCGCGAGACACACTCGAGTTGAAATCGGCCGCGACATCCACCATGGCGACGGTCGGACCGGCGGACATGAAGTTGCACATCACCATGGCCAGAGAGACAAGAATGGCAATGTAAATCTTGTACGAGGTAGACCTAGGGGAAGATATTAGCGACGAGCTATATGCAAGCGCGGGCATTGTATATACCATCGTAGTGGATCGTTTGGGTCATCCGACGGAGTAGGGACCAGAATAACCTCGTTGGTTTCATGATGGCGCAGGCGAACATGGCCCAACGAACGATGAGGGTGGTTATCCTCATCCATAATCTTCTGCACCGTCCCAACCGAGGATTTAGGGTCTCTGGTCGCCATGAAGTGATGTCGTCTTCTTACAATAGTCGGGTAGGTAATGTAGTGGGTGGGGATACTGAGGAGATCCTCCTGGCCAAGCTCCTTATAAGCTGCGGGCTGGGCCCCTCATTTGGCTCGTGGCTCGTGCAGATGTCAGAGGCCAAATGATCGACGTGGACTGTCAAGGGATGTGGAGTCCAAATCTGGGGTAAGAAGAATAGGGTTGTGGGGGAGATCTCGGGCGCGGCCAGTTCACTTCGGCTTGCAATGTCACCTCCCCCTTTCTGTCCGTATTGAAAAAGAGGGGGGCAAGCCGGCAACTACTTATCACTCTGGTAGCTGTTCAGACCCCAGCACGAGTGCCCTTTTAGCACGGCGTGGATCTTCTTCCGGCCTCTGACTCCCACGCACCAGGGAGCGACCTGTATGGGGTCGGCTGCCCACGACGGCAACGATGTGTCGGCCAGATAAAATTCAAATCGTCTATTATCACAGCTTCCGTGATATGGTTTCGTGGCTACTTGCACGTGAAGTCTATTAGTACGGCTGGAGAGTCGGGAAACCAACGCCACTGCAATCTAGCCCAATCCTGCGGCTTGTTTGGACGTCCAGCAGAGCTACAGCTCCGGCTTACGATGAAACAATTCAAGTAATAGATAGGTAACATATCACAAGACACAGGGGAACTGCCTTTGAAAGTAAAGGTCTATTCTCGTCCAGCCCCCACCGGGCATCTGCAGACATTATCACACGTTTTCACTTGAGAACTGAACTTCATTGGATAACCAAGACTGACATCCTTGATAGATTTGTGACTATTCACCACTAGCTACATCTTTCATCAATTGTGATGACTGTCAAACCTTCTGATCACAAAATGTGATCCGTCGTGCCTATGCCAAAAGCACACTAACCCCCCGTCAGCGCCCAGTATCCTTCCTAATACAATTGTAGACTCCCACCACCAGGGAGGGTTGTGTTTGCGGACTTGATCCACGCATTTGCAGAGGAGGAGGCATTGTAATAGATACTGTATCCCTGACTCGCAATGTTGCTGTTGGTGGTATCGGCATTGGTGAAGTTCTGGAGATAGACATTCTTCGTCAGCGTCCAGGTGGACGTCTTATCGAGTGCCACTGCCAGGTATGCAGTCCCTCGGCCGGTGGAGGCCGCTCCCGTCCAGCTCGAGTATTCAGCCAGGCTCCAAGAGATGGAACTACCGTTGTAGGCCACGATGTCGCCGCTCAGTGTGGACTCAGTGACCGTCACTGTAGCTTGCGCAGGCTGGATGCTCGAATTCTCTTCCCAGCCGACGAAGTGATCGAAGGATTGAGTGATCTGGGAGGCGTTGGCAATCACGAGAATACCCGACGTGGTATTCAGCTCGGTCGCATGCAGCGTGGCTGATGCAATCAGATTCCCAAACTATAGCGCTGCCATATCCTCTCCCAGTGTAGTGAGTCGAGAGTTCGAGAATGACAGGGATGCCCCGCTGCTGCGCGTAGAGGACGAGAACATCACCGTCCCTGCCAGAAGGCCAGCGGTGAAATCGACGTTTTCGAAGACAGAGCTTTGCGCCCCGTCAGAGAACAGGCTCGGTCCATTCTCGGACTTTCCAACAACATCTTTGCCATAGCTGTCACCAAGAGTGTAAAAGATGGCGCTGCCAACCCCGGCTGTGTGAGCGATGGCATCGGTGACATAGATGTACCCGCCGGGGCTGTCACCCGAGAAGGAGGATGAGCGTTTCCCGCCTGAATAGTGTCGCAGATTGGAGGCATAGACGGTCCCGTTGCCGGCCGCATAGAGACCGTGGGACACCGGACCAGAACTGTACAGGTCGGTGTTGCTCACGTACACGGTGGTCCCGGTCCCATAGGCATAGACGTTGGCCGCACCATTGTGAACGGTGATGTTGCTGAGGTCAATGTAGGCTGTCGAGGCGTTGGCTACATTGATGGCCGCATTGACCCCAAAGAAACTGGCCTGATTGAGCCAGGTTGAGTAGCCTTTCTTGATGACATCAGTATACGACACATTAACTGCCGATCCTTCTGTCACGACGAGAACGCTGGTATCGTTCGCATCCACCGTCAAGGTTTGGTGGTCAATTTCGCCATCCTCATCGCTATAGTAGTAGGGGCCTGTGATATTGTACAGAAGGTATTGTGGCCCGCCATTGTCCGTGGTATAGTCGGCTTCCAAGGTATTATCGGTTGCGTCGGCAGCCAGATCAGCGTAGTCGCTGGGATCCAAAACGGTGATTGTGGCTAAGGCCAACGGCAGACAGGCCAACAGAAGTCGAATAGATGCCATCATGCACGTAATTGGGAGGAGACAACAAGACGATCACAAATGACTCAAATTGGAGCTGCCCTTCAAGGTACATCGAGTGTACCTACAGGCCTATTTATCAAACCCGCCGTCCAAAATGGAAGGTCCGTGAAGTTGTCGCCCACGTCACCATCCTTGATAATTGCTCAGGAAGTGTGGAGCCATGGCATCGTGATGGATTAGTCCTCTGCGGGAGCTGTAACTTCCCCAACCCTAGCAATGAGCACTTCAGTGGGGGACAATTGATCTGTCGGATTGTCTATAATGCATTGGCGGTGTTGACAACAACAACATAGAGTACCATGGAAGCTACACGTGGACAAACAACCTGTCCACCTCACAGTTCTTGTTAATGTCGATCGGGAGCATCTTGTGGAGCCGAATAAGGTTGTCAATCCGACCTCTGACGGTATACGCAATCTCTCCTCTGCCAAGACATGACGGAACATCTCCAATTGGCTTGAGTGTGCTGCATATATTACTATGCATGGGCATGGCATCAAAGCGGAGGGGGATCCAATCGTCTAGGAACACCGATATAAGTACCTGTCATCGAGTGTATATTCCTGCTCGGTTGCCTGAATGTAAGGAACGCATCCATGTTTATCTCCACATGCTCATCCGTAGCTAGTCTAGTAGTGGTACACGTTGCCGGCTGAGTGTTGGAATGAATTTTGGTTATGGGATGCATCCGTAGCCTGCTCGTTCTGGTGCGTCGGACGCGTGCGAACCAACTAATCAATTCGACGATTATGCATTCCACGAAGCTTAACCCTGTTTTCAAAAAGCATTTGCACTTGGTGTGTAATAAAGCCAAGTGACGAAGATCTGCAAGGCTTGGGTGCTTGAAACTATCCCTTGCCGTCGAGGTCAGTTCCCACACCGGCCAAGTACTTCCTCTAGAAGAACATGACTCATCGGAGCAACATGGCGAATCTGCTCTAGTAAGTTTGGGTTTCGAATATCTTCGGAGACCTCCCAATAGATACTTCTAACGGCCATCAGAAGTAACAATCATAAAGTAGGTTCATCTGGCCTTGCCCTAGAGCTTTTCAGAAGCGTAGTTGATAGAAACGCCCTCAATGGCTTAGACAAGTCACCGCTAAAGATAATTACCTGGAATTCTTATTGATGACTGGAAATCTATTCACAGATTTGACCTATGATAAATTGACCCATATACATAGCAAGGGGCTTGTTTTGGTTGTGAATAAAAAATTAATGTGGAGGAGCTGCTTGGCTGCTGATAAATCACAAGCAGCAACTGGGAAGAAAGACACCGGTATCGATTACAGCTTGGACGACTTTGGGTACTGATGCAAAGGGGAATGAGGAGTTTTGGTGCCATATGACCTTTGAATTCAGTTCCTGATCTTCATTGAGAAAGTTTTACACTCGAGCTAAACTTGTGAATGGGACGAGAGGTGGACTACGATGAGTGAAGATGTAACAATAAGTTCCTAATTAACGTCCCTTCCACTGGCACTGTCTAATTGCATTCTTCATCTTCCATCTGCATTATGGCATGGATGAAAACGAAATCCTGTAATCGATTTCCGATCCCCGGGCAATGGGAATGCAACCTTTTGGCACGTATGATCCGTCAGGAGTCGGAATTGGACCAGGATGGCGTCCGCGGCAATAATCAGACGAGCATAGGCCTAGGCAGTAACATCTCCAGGCGTCCCAGATGGGCATACCTAGTCCTCTCCATGGACGGGAATCTTGAATCCGGCAGACTTGATACCTAGCGGGATGGGTGCTTGTCCGAACTTGACAGGCTCGAAAAATAGCGGAGATACGACTCCAATGGATTGATTTCACCCCCTGACCCCAATCATCCATGGGAAAGCCATCCTCAACGATGGCGATCTCAGGCGGAGGTGAAGGGGCCCAGACATGAAACTCGCGACGCAGTTGAGATGAGTGTGGGAGGCGAGAGACGAGACATCCCTCGAACAGATACTTCTCCTGGCTATCATACTTGAGACTCCCGGCCTTCGTATGGCGAAGAATTGGATTGACTCTGCATAGACCTTCCAAACATTCTGATAGGGTGCGGACTTCTTCCCCCAACACCACAGGCACTTGATCCCAGCCCATGCGTTCGAACCAGGAAGCCTCAATTTCACTTTAAGGCCAATTCAGCCGCTCCCCAGTGACTGAAAGATCAGAATACAACTGTAGGTGCCAGAGCGCACGATAGACGCGATACTCCTCGATCCATGACGGTGGGCCAGCCTCACGCGGCTGATATGGCTCTGTGCCATCCCTAACAACCTTCTTCCCACACCATGGCTGAACTTTTCGAACACGCTCCAAGAGAGTAGTCAAACAGGCGCACGCAAGTCGTTGAATGTTGGCCGCAATGCTTACCATCTCCTTGAGCACGGCTCGGGAGATCGAAGGAGGGGAGCTCATCAACGACAAAGAATGATCCTGAGCCATGAAATCAGCCAGACCGACCTTTGGCGTGGAATACAGGCGGAGTTTTAGAGCCATCCGAAATATGGAATGCAATTCGTAGCGCATAACAGGGTTGTGCTGAAGGATCGTTTCAACCAGGCGTACGGCTTCAAGATCCGCCTTCGTGTTTGGGTCAATATTGAAAAGATCCTTTAACTGTGGAGAGACTTCCAAAAGATTTTCAAAGCCAACCCAATCCGCTGCATACGAATTGATGATGGATAGAAGCTCATATGGAAATATGCTGACATCCATCATTGCGATGAGGAACAGGTCTCAACTCAGTGAAGACTAAATTCATTGGAGGAAGTATGTTTGTGTTTCGGCAACATAAGAGGGACATTCACTTGGTTGACTCTCGAACGCGAGCCCCTGTCCTTCTCTTCGTACTCGTTTTGTTCATTCCCCCGTCGTGCTAGCTCAGCGCTCAAAGTCCAACTTTTGGCTAGTGCCGGGGTAGATTTTTCTCCCCTGCTTTACTCCTTTGGTGGTGCGGGCCGTCCGATATGCGGTCCAAGGGTCCGACGTACAACTATTGGAAGACTAAATGACTCGCCGTTGTAAAATACCGTACAGACCATGACCAAGAACATCACCAGTCCTCAAGTCCACCCTAAGTGGCCGGAATATCCTCCCAATACCACTCTCTATCTCTCCGCGTCACAGTACAACCACAGGATCTTGCTATGTTATCGCTATCGCACCGTTTCATTCCTAACTATTCAATCATGCTCCTCGCCCTCTCGACTCTAACTGCTTTGCTCTCTACGAGAGCATCCGCATGGACATCAGCACCGCCGCAGTCGTCCTCAACAACTGCCTGTAGGCTCTCAATTGTCAACACACGATCACTTTCTTCAGTTATGCTCCGATGAGCTTCTCATATAGCGTCGAAACACTGCTGCACGCGCTGATCGCTGTGCCGAATTAGTTCAGTGCCAAGCATGGCTGTACTCTACTTCTGGACAAGAATGTCATTTGTATCGCCACCAACCTGTCTTCCACTCAACCAAACCACTGTTCGTCTCTGGATTCTGTGTGGTAGAAGAAGAAGGAGCAGATGCAGAAGAAGCAGGTGAGACAAAGAAGCCTGTCTTCCCTCATACCAGCATCTACCCTTCATCTTCTCCTACTCCATCTTCAGTTCTGCTCTCGTCCCTGGTATGATATTTCTTGCTCTTCTATATCGTGTGCCTGGACCTTTGAACTAATTTTACTGACCGAACTAAAGTTACCGCAGCATACTCTACCCCAATATACGAACTTCGAAAGTGACGCTACTACTACACCATTGGCGGCTCAAGCCTCTCATGTACACCGTCGCCACGGCCACCACGACTACTAATTGTTGATCCCAGAAGCAATGCCTTATGAAAAGGTCTAGGCGAGGTTTTATTTAATGGATCGTTTCCATTGGGGTCTCCTTATCATAATATCGGTTCCTTTTTCTTCATATTCGAATGGAGTTCTAATTGTTTTCACAAAAATGTGCAAAAGTATGTGCGGGAGCATTTGTGCATTATTTCTAAAATTTTACTTTGGGAATACAAGACGGACAACAGTCCGGTCTTTACAATATATTTGTCTCTATCCGTAGTCTATTAAGTGCCATTGTCGCGTTTAGGAAAAGGCTCTGAGCAACAACATTTATGCCACCCCGTGAAAGCACCATTGCTCCTTTTCACAGTTCAACAAATATTCTCTAAAGCCAGATTTCATAGCGGCCTCAGTGGGAACATAATGAAGATATTACATATATAATTAATGGCTTATAAAAGTAATCCTGTGTTGTGAATGAATCATCAGAAGTTATTTACGATCATTAAGACTACACAAAAGTGGCATATAATCACCCATTTATAATAACCCCTCTGAAGTTACTATCTGACAATTTCGTTATTTATCCCCCCCCCCTTTTTTTTTTTTCCCTTTAATCTTATTTTCGAGTATGTCAGCTATGTCTCTTGCTAACTCGATATATAGATTCTAATAGATATTCAGATTATAATATAAGTAATTTTCCAAAACCGCTTACAAAATCTCAACTTTTTTTAATTTTTATTTTGTTTTTACTTCTCCTCCTTCTCCAAATATTTGGTTTGTAACTAGCTATAACTTCCCAGGAACTTATGTCAACGGCCTATGATGTCTTGAAAAATGCTGATTACTATTGATATAAGCTTTATTTATCTGTAAGATAGATATAATATATAGTCTGACTTGCGCCACCTTTAGAAGGTATACTTATATTAATGATTATGTGATAGCAAGCACCTCATATTCGAGGCGGCCCTCTGTAATCTGGCTGGAAGACTGTGGTTGGCTTGTGAATCTTACTGTAAGAGTTTTACTGCCGACCAATGACTTCACGTCCAATATGTGTCATTACCATGACATAAGACAGAAATATATGATAGTTAGTACCGTTATTCGGTTGGCGACACATGAGAGACGTGATTTATTGTTGAATTGAACCTTCCTATACGTCGAGCTTTCGGATTGCTACTGAGACTTGTGCTTGCAAAATGTTAGACTGGGGTCTACCAGTACACATGGAGTAGGGCTTGAATAAGGGTCCAGGAAGCCGAATTAAACCGGGTAATATTCAGAAGGCCGAAATGTACAAATGAAATAATACTAGTCTCCATGTGTCTGAATCACCACTTCCGTCGTTTTCATGATGCCGGTCTCAGTCCGATGCAGCCTCTGCTCGTCACTTTCTCTCCAGTTCCCGGATTCGCCGTCGGAGCTTCCTGCAGATGTGAAATCGTAGACAGTCGGTGGTACTCGGGGCATTGACTTCATGGCAATGTCGGTGCTGCGCTGAACATAATATCCCTGGGTGTCGTAGCGGTAGGTAGAGGTATTGCGGCGCCCCGTGGTCAGGCTGCGGGTCCCATCGAGGACCGATTTCAGTAGAGGCTTGAGACTAGGGAGGCAGGCGGCGAGAATAGCGACATTTAGCTCCGCACTAGAGATGACAAGTTAGTTTTCTCCGGAGTCTGGGCTTCAGGAGTCACCCACCAGTTCCAAATCATGAAAGTGTCGTGTCTTCGATGATTAGCTCCAGAAGATTGCACTCTTTGTCGGGTAGTCCCGCGGGAACTCTTACCGATACATGTTTTGCTCTTTTAGTACGTTGACCTGCGAAATGATCTTGACAATTCCCGCGACGCAGGCACTAGTCGACGGTCAGTAACCACCATTGGAGAAAGAGTAGAGATGACTGACAGGGATCCAAGACTCAACACTCCTATCAGCGAGAACTTGGTTCGCCAGTTGACCTGAATCCCTATAAAAAGGGGAATTGGCAAAGTTGCAAAGATGACATCGGTGACGAGGTTCGTAACTAATCAAGTTATAAGATAAATTGACTTGAAAAGTGAAATTGCACCTCCGAAAAGGTGATGCCAAACTTACTACTGTTCCAGAGGCCAATAGCTGTATAAGTATCATTGTCGAAACAGCGGGCATGAGGTCGCAAGCTTGTATCCCACGCTGCCGCTACAGGAATGCATTGCAGAATCAGTGTAAGACCACAGGCAATGGTAAATGCCACCAGAAAAACTGCCGTTCATTAGATTGCTATCACCCAGAACATAGCCTCGAGCATTTGCGAAGGTGCACCCACTGATCGATCCAACTAGCGCCTTGCTTAAAATAGTTGATGAGAAACGTCGCAAGAATACAGCCAAGGAAATTTTCACAAGACTAAGCCCGACCATGACAATAATTGAATGATAGTATACCAGCTTAGACAAGACTTGCTCATCTTCATCGGTGATGTCTTTGCTGAAGCGACCCACACCGTGTTGAGCTTCCAGCACAAAACAGACTAGCACACCAACGGCGCACAGCTATTTTACCTGTAAGTTAGGAAGCACTCGAATGCGCGATGGAATAGAGCAAATGACTCACCCACGCTACGGTAATGATGTACTCTTCTGCGTTGAATCGTCGCAGGAGATACCCTCGCACATAGCAACGGAGCCACAGCACCAATGTTGACAGGCCGGTCAATGTGCCAACTACCGCGAGAATTCCAGGGGCATTGGAGCCACCCGACTCATCACGAAGCCAAAGTATCTGCCGTGGGTCACCGGCTCTGCCGGGAAGAGGAGTCATGCTGGCTGCGAACTGCTGGCCCTGTCACGGAGGACGGACTGAAGCTCGACGTAACCATGTTCCCGTGTCGAGGATGCCTTGCAGCGGCCTTTTCTACTTTCGACAGATCTGTCATCACTGCACAAAACCGTGGAAGCCCCCAAAGGCCGACTTGGCACTTGCAGAAATAGCGCCTGGGTCTCGAAGGAGGCTTTGGTTCCTGGGAGTCTATTACAAATGGATACCCCTGGCATTTCGGATGGAGAGGACGACATCCCACCAGTCGTATCAGCGCCGAGTTTCGGGCGGAAGGGTAATAGATTAATTTACCCAAACGTCAAGATTCAAAAAGTGTCAGAATGGAGCCACGCTACGGAATCTCTAGGCGACTAGCAATGGTGTCGCGGGATTTAGTGTCATCGAAGAGGGTTTGGGTGCTGACGGAGTAAGCGATAATCTCCGGCATTCTGCACACGGCATAGTAGCACAATAAGAAAATTCACTGCGAAGGTTACAGAATAGCAGTGATGCGAGAAACACTTCTCTTAAGCCACTGATCTGCCAAGAAGCTTACACTGCCTATCACTGGAGTTCCATGTGGAAGACGCTGGTACGTAGGGAGCTGATCGCGACGATCACTCTGGGGGAGGAGCCGACTCACAGACCAGAGAATGAACATTCGAGGGACGCAACCCAGCGGGAAATCGGAGGCAGTTCGGAGGGTCGGAGATTGGCGAGCTCCACTCGGTGAGGCTATATTTGACGGTGGGGATTCTCACGGAGCACCTCAAGATTAAATGTCCAGTCACCACGACACGACCAGTTCTCTAGTGCTCCGCGGACCTCTTCCGGCGGCTGCCCCGATTCCACGAGGTCTCTTGGCAGCAAAGCCGGTTTCAAACGATGTATCCACATCCGAAGTCTCGTGTGGCTGTCTTCGCCGTTGCCACGCGTAGGTTGATGGTGGATCCTTGACATGCAAAGATAGCCCTGGCTTCAATATCTATTCACAGCACTACAGATCAGACATCCTTGAATAGCGCATATGGTTGTGATGATTCGATGCACCCCACAAAGCCAAATAAATCCCTTTGAGCCTGTCAGTCGTGGGTCATCCAACCCTGTCCTTAGTCCCCACTTGGCCTCGCTTAGAGACGCGCCGGTCCGCCACGAAGCGGATTAGCATCGTTGGCATCATTCTAGACTGTCAACACCTGCCAGCAGTCTGGCTTCTCCATTTGCTAGCGTGCTCATTATATTAACCCTTCTTTCAACGGCCCAATGGCCAACTTGCAAGACTACACTACTGTTCAGCCTTTCCCACCACGCCTTAGGGGAAAACACTGCTAGCCATGGACTAGACCGCGCCCACCGTGTGCAATCTATTATTACAATCGTCTGAGGGCTAGCCTTCCGACTTCCGAATGGCACCTCGCCAAAATGGGCCGATAGCCGTTGAATTGGCCTGCAGCTATGCACGTGGTGGGGAGAAAAGCAGTATATAGAGGTCGAGGCGGACCGGGTGTCCCTTTTGAACGACTCCAGCTTGACACCAAGTCCTCCCCTGGTCCAGCGAGTTGCACCGACAAGCAGGATGCGTCTCTCCTTCCTAACTGCTGCTATTGCAGCCCTGACTATCACTCCTGTGTCGGCAGACACGCAAGATGCTGTCGATGTGCTGGCTAGCAAGGCCTTGGCCACCAAGCGTGCCTATTTGGCGGCTGAGGGCTCTTCCAACTCCAGCTGCAACATCAACAATGCGGCTGTTCGCAAGGAATGGTAAATGCCACCGGTATCGGCTATTTCTCTGGCTTCGAAACTGACAACACCTCTCATACAGGGGCTCCCTCGCGCCGGAGGACCGCAAGAAGTACACTGATGCTGTCCTCTGCTTGATGTCGAAGCCCCCCAAGTCTGACCCGAACTGGGCTCCTGGTGTCCGCAACCGTTATGATGACTTCGTGGCGGTTCACATTAATCAGACGCTATATATCCACGGCACGGTGCGTAGTGACTGCCAAGCCAGACCAAATGAAACACTGCTAACATTACTGCCTAGGGCAACTTCCTCACCTGGCACCGCTACTTCACCTGGGCCTATGAGAATGCTCTGCGTACAGAGTGTGGCTACGACGGCTACCAGCCATACTGGGCATGGAACAAGTACGCCGCCAACCCCATCAACTCGCCCGTTTTTGACGGCACCGAGTACAGTATGTCTGGTAACGGTGACTTCGTTCCCCACAACGGCACCCCTGCGACTGACTATACCACCATCCCGCCGGGTGTGGGTGGAGGTTGTGTCCGCAACGGCCCCTTCGCAAAGTAAGAGTCCTCTCCGTTAGCTCACTCTAGGATTGGATTCTGACCGTGGATAATCAGCATGACCGTCAACCTGGGACCGGTTGATCCTACCCTGCAGATCCCTGGCCTCGTAGCCCAGAACGGCAGCGGTTTGGATTACAACCCCCGTTGCCTGCGTCGTGATATCTCTCCTTGGACCGCTCTGGGCTGGACCAAGACTAGCGATGTCATGAGCCTAATTGAGGAGTGCGATAACATCTCCTGCTTCGAGTGGACTATGCAAGGGTTCTTCGAGGAAGGTTTCCTGGGCGTTCACACGGCCGGTCACTTCACCATTGGTGGTGATCCGGGTGGTGTAAGTTGCATATTTTTCTCTTGCGATGTGATGAAGCTAACTCAGCTCTGCAGGATCTGTACGCTTCTCCCGGTGATCCGGCATTCTATGTCCACCACGCTATGATTGATCGCGTCTTCTGGATCTGGCAGAACCTGAACCCTGCTAACCGCACGTACGTCGTCAAGGGACCCGACTTTATTGATGGTCTGATTGCATCGCCCAACGCTACTATTCATGACCTTCTCTACATGGGTAACCTGACGGTCTCGCGGGAGATTTATGATGTGCTGGACACCACGGCTGGGACTCCTCTGTGCTATATTTATGAGTAAAATAGTTTAGAATCCCGAAAAGGGGCATAATGGATATTGTAATACTTTGTATTGATTCTAAATAACTTGCATTATTCATTCAAGAGAAGACCAGCATGCCTCGGCACGAAAGTCCGTTTAATCATGCAAGACTGTAAGCGAGAAGCGTTCCCATTGCCAAGATCCGGAACCCTCCGACCGGCGATTGCGTCGCGGGGGCCTTACTCTCAGGGGATGGAGTTGGGCAACTGAGCCCGGTGCGGAGAGGATTACGACAGGCACTGGAAGTCAAAGCCGAGGAGATACTTGCGGCAGCTGTGGAATCGATCTTGACCTCGCAAGGACTGGGAGTCGGGGATGGGTCCACAGTCGGTGCACAGGATGGTGCTCCCCAGGTTCGCGTAGGCGGCACGTCCAACAACTCTGGGACTTGTATAGCCTGGGCTATAGACTGCTCGCACGTACTATCCTTGGTTGCGGCGGCGATGTCTGGTGGCGAAGTGCCATTTTGTATCGAGAAGTGCAACTGATGGCGGAGCGTGTCAAGATATCCGAAGGTCAAAGCGTCACTCTGCGGGGAATGGGAGCAGTTGAACATCCGAAGCTCCCAGGCAAACACGAAGGTGCCTTCAATGTCCAGATTCCCGACGCTCCAATAGAGGAAGTAAGGGTCACTTCTCGTATAATTGGTGTTCACGAGGTGGATCAGGCCCGAGGTAATATAACTTTCCTTGGCTTCGACATTTTCCTGCTCAATGCTATAGGAGATCGTCGCGTTGAAACTTGGTAGGAGACTCGGGTTTTGGATGGCAAATATGATCGGAGTGAGAGGCGACGGGGAATAGCTGTCGTTACGCGGGAAGATCAAGTCGATTTCTGTAACGCCTGGAGTGATAGAGGCCGCCCGTAAGCAAAGCCAAGAGAGAGGATCAAGAAAAGACAGCCTCGAGTACGCAAGTTCATCTTCGTCGTAGGGGGTTATGCACAATGAACAACTTGAGGGAGGAAGGCGAATTCAGGGAGCAGCAATGGTTCCTTAATAGGTGCGTGGTGTCTTGGCTCGTGGGTGGCTTCAAAAATATTGTAATTATTGTTACTCCATACTCCATTCATAAACTCAGTGCTTTTGTCTCGTATGGAGTGACTGTCACATCGCGTATGCAGCCAAGCCTCGCCCCTGACTAGTGTTGTTCACGCATGCGGAGGTATCTTCGGAAAGACGTGAGCATTCCACACAAGCGAAGTATGTTCCAAATAGTTTCTCACGTTGAGTATGGGTTTGCAGTCCTTGCTGTTCATGGAGCTGGTTATAGAGGCGCTCAATGCTCTGGTGGCTTTTTGGAAGATGGGTGTATGTTCGAAGAGTTGTCTTTGTTAGTTCTCGACAACTACCTGGGTTGGTTAAGTTGAAATATAAAGAGGAACAGGTCTCGCGCCACCCAAGGGCCCCCGAAGGTGCAACTGTAAAAAGTAGGATTAAGCATAGAAGCACAAAAAAAATGAAGAAACACTACGTTCCTATTCTGGCGTATTCTGTGGTACAAAAGTTGAGGCAACGTCCACGTGTTGAGCAGTGAACTTTAGCTGAGGGTAAAATCTTGACTCTGATGAGATTCCAATGATCAGCATTCACTGTCACGGAACGGTCACTTGACTGGATACTCTATTTGAAGTCCTTCATACCATCCTCTAGAAGTAACACTTCATGAGGGATGCTATTCTTCGAAACAAGGTCAATTTACCGTTCCCAAAGGTGAGCTGATTGATTGGAACAATCTTCGGACGGACCTTTCACAGTTGGAGAAGCGGGAGTTACAGAAGATGACTGTGGCACCGTTGCTAGGGGTTCAGGGATCTGCACACGCCTTTACCCAATGTCAATGAAGATACTCATGTCATTAGGGGCCACCGTAACCCTTGGCTGCCAAGCGATATAACAGCCTTCCTGGCGGATACGCTGCCACTGGTACTATATTGCTTTTGTAAGAGGGCCTCTAGTCTCATATCATGGATCACTGCCTTCAGAACTGCCCTCTTTTGATTCTCAGGCAAGTCTTAGGAGATTTTCAAATTGCAAAAAAGACCACTATTCTCACGGTGGGGAAAGATTTCAGCTGTCGGCGCGGCTACCATATAAGTAACTGTGGATGCGCATTGCTTCCCCTCGTAATAGTCCAAGATTCAAGACAACACTCCGTAACAAACAAACATATGGCCAGGTTCTGGTGGTATTAGGTGGCGGTCATTGGCTTGAACAACAAAGAGGGTTATTCGTATTCATCCCCTACATTCATGGAGCATGGGGACGACTTCCAATAAGACCACACTGCACATCAGCCTTTACCAGTCCATACCGAATCCCGATTTCCTTCAATATTTCATAAAATCGCTTTCTATCTGTCCCCGCTTGACTGTGTTCAAGAACCTCCAGTTTCAAACAGAGCCACCGCCAGTCCAAATCCTCATGTAAAATGCCCCGTATCTCGCTGAACAGGTCTAGATTAAGCCGTCGTTTCCAATATCCGTTGTCTACTGACCATTGGATGCCTTTCAGCACCGAGCCTACATCGTCAAACTCAAGATTATCCATGATCATGTATTGCAGCTCCAACGGAAGACGGATGAGCCATGAATCAGTAGAGCATGATGTATGGCTCACCTTTGACATCCTGGTAGCTCTAGATCTGCATCGAGTTACAAATCGTCGAACGGATGTCATACCGATGGGATCTGGATTGTCTAGCGTGTTATCTCATCAAAACTACAGATTGCGTATATGGATACTCACCTCTAGGATCCATCAGTAGCTGCAATTCCAGGGGCTCCTCATAAATGATATCTAAACGTTCCTTCATGTAGCGTGTTCGCAGCGCATGCGAGAGGATGCCTAGATTTTCTTCTGTATGCGGCCATTTAATGACCCGGAGCAGCTCTCTCCAGCACATAGCGTGCACCATATATCCAGCCAGGGTGGTCTGCTTCTCGATATTCACCTTGGGTTGAATCAGCTTAGGTGCCGCCAGCCCATGGCGCCAGATTCTCTTGTGTTTTCCGACAGACAGGAGCCCGTTATTCTCATTCCACGGAGCGTGAAAAGTGCTACACGGCTAGTAACTCTGAGCGATCCCGGATACCCTGTAGCATCGCGTTTTAAGGTCAAACATGACTGGAAAAGTTAGAGTGAACCAAATAAGGTGCTTATCTTTGCTGCCCGAGGATGCGTACTGAGCCGGTACAGGGTGCGCCATCCAGGAAAAGTGAAGGTGTAAAAATCATCAATCTCACGGGCTGAGTACGATATTTTACCAGCATTTGGCTTGGAGTAGGCGTGGCGACCAGGAGAGTACTCTGACGGGTTGCATGAAAGAAGGTTGCAACAGATGTAGCAGAATGGATGCTTCTTATACAGTGGATATGCATAACGCTCATCATTGATATATGGCCAATCTGGATTAGGATCCTGCATTTCATATCGATCGTGCGGCTAAAGATGCTGTTTAATTGAACTATTTGTATTATGGTTGGGTTTTATATGTGAGTAAAATCCCGGACTCCTCGCTCATAATGACCTCAACATCTGGTGCCTCGGAACGGTTCAGAAGTACGAGAAATCACTTTCCGGCTTCATAACATCATAAATACCTTAAGGTCCCCAACGGAAGGTCCCCTAGGCCACCAGTCCGTCCAAAGCATGGGTCTGGAACGATGAAGTCCTGTACTGCAGACCATGAAAAAGGCCACACGGTCTCTCATTGCCCGTTAACCCAGAGATGTTTAACAGTAATTATTCCTTATTCAATCCTAGCAAGACCAGAGATCTTTCACAAAAGAGCAGCGTTGATGCTACGAACGATTACTCTAATTTACTTCAATGTAGTCGGGATGTCGTGGACTTGCGCATCTATCATTCCTCTTCATTTTCCCCTGCTGTCAGGCCGGCGGGAGACCGGCTAGCGGTGGGGACTAACCCATGGTTCGGAAGAACTCAAAAAGGGTAAGCTGGAAACTCGCGATAACAGGATGATACCTCGCGCGATGTTGTCCCCAAGAGTAAACAATACGTGAAGTGATAAGCCATCATTCCCACTTAGTGGAAATTTTGGACCCCCAGGCCAAACTCGACTCGGGCTCTCCGACCCAACTTCAAGCAGACTTCTCCGAGGCTCGTGGGTCTTCTCCGATCAGGGCAGGCCGTTGATACGTCGGGTTTCAAAGCTAGTGCAGTTAGTGTGTTTCCCAGGCTGCTTGGGAACCAAAAATTCACCCACAGGATGGACCAGGATCGCAGGGTCTTTTCAGGGTCCGCCGTCCATGAGTCCCTTAAAACACTTGGCTGTCGCATTTCGCTATCCTCTCACACCCCCCTCATCCGCCAATTCTCTCGTTTTATTTCTCCTCTCTCCTGGCGGAACCAGCATACAGTCTTTTGCTACTGGGGAATACCCACGAGTCATTCTTTATGCTGCCAACCATGAAGGTTACCAGCCTCTCCGCCATTCTGGCGTTCTCTCTTTCCGCGCACGCTCTATCTAACGGTTTCGTGGGCTGCTACTCATCCTCCGGCAGCTTGGTGAACAAGGGCTCCAGTCAATTTCAATCCACGGGATTATGCACAAGTACTTGCGGTCGCAATGGTGCGAGATACGCTGCTACCACAAATAGCGTTGACTGCTACTGTGGCTCTTCGCTGCCTCCGAGCGCGAAGCTCGTCTCCCAGTCAGAGTGCAATGTCAACTGCCCAGGATTTCCAGAGGACCATTGTAAGTGTCGCCATTCCATGCCAATCACTCTAATGTACCTCATATCATTAACGCTTAGATTGCGGCGCATGTAGGTGGAGGCAATGGCTTCTGGTCCATTCACCAGACCTATATCACGGGCGATGACGTTGACGGCGGCGACAACAACACAGATGATGGGGATGGGGACAGCGATTCGGGCGACAACTCTGGGAGTGGTCCAGACGATGGCCCTGGTAGTGGTCTCGGGGATGGCCCAGATAATGGTCCAGGCAAAGGCCCAGGTGGCGGCCCGGAAACGACGACGGCATCCAGCTTCACCGTTTATCCCACTCCTTCTGCAGTCATTACGGTGACATCGGTTCCAGCTGTGACCGGCACCAGCTCCCCATCTGCCACTCTCCCGAGCAAGGAATCGTCCAGTGTCTCCGTCGCGACGGTGTCTCCAACCACAGCCACGTCGGGGGCCAGCCGGCGATTCCGGTTCTTGTTTTTCTAAATTGCTCATAGACCAGCATCACGTAGTTGCGGTCGCCCAATACTGTATACCTACCTGTCAAGGCAACTGAACTGGGCATCACCTTTCTTTCTGTCTTTGATATGAACCTTCGACAGTGGCTCGTTTTGCAGCGGTAGCTACTCCAGTATGACGACCACGTTATTGATGTCCATGAGGCAGATTCTCGCATGCTGCGCAAGAGACGGGCTAGAGCGCCCAATTTCTGTAGGAGTTTCACCACATTGGCAACACGTTGCCGGCCACTTTCGAGCATTTACAGTGGGCTGAATCGACCATTGGCCGGCTGACACTCTGGCGCAACGCCAGGATATCCCCTCTCGTATCGGTGCAGCCGTGGGTCCAAGGCCACGGCAACGGAGAGAATCATCAAGCCCCGCGGTCGCATCGCTTCCACAATGCGAGAATAGGGTACATCTTGCTATCATGGAATCCCCCTCAGAATGGCGATTCTTCACTCGGTTCCTGTAGGTTACACCTGACTTGGCTGCATGGCTCAAGGCTCCGTCGGAAGTCGCAGCCCGTCTCCCGCATTTCTTCCATGGTCTTCTCATACCTCATTGCACGATAGCCGGGCACGATAAATATAATGCAATAACGGACTGTTCCGACTCAGGATAGATCATTGATGTAGGGCGCGGCGCTGTTTTCGCATAGAGTGGGACAGCGAGACACAAGGGACCTTAACGCCACAGCCATGTTTCTTTAGCGCACAGGCAACAACCTCGTTACTAGTAACTCACTAGTGACTTAGTTGCCTTAGTCGCCGAGGTCTGCCTAACGGGACGGCTGCCTAGACCTTCTGATTAGTGACTCACTCTATATAATACAATATGTATCCCTCCCTCACTCCGTCAGACATCAAGCAAACAATACAACGGGGCCAATATGGGTTCGAAGCCTAGTTCACCCATCAAACTGCCAGGATTCAACCTTCCCTTGAACTGGCAGCCCAAGGTAAATACCTGTCATCCCCGCCACATGGTGCCCGGCGCAGAACATAACACTTCGTTCGTCATAGGAAACGGAGCTTTTCCCCAACGCATTAGACTATGGAGATATCAACGATGGCTACGTTGGGTAAGACTCCCCGAATTGCTACGTATCAGCCAGCAAAATGGGCGCAACTAACCCCGTACTCTGCAGCCATCTAAGCACTCAGCGTGAAATAACCATGATGCAGGTCATGAATACGATCTCGGAGAAGCCCGAATGGTGGCGTAAGGTATGACCACTTCTCACGATTCATTGAGACTTGCCATTCGACTGATGCAGAAAAGGTATTCGACGAAGGCATCACGTCAAGATGGCGGACGGAGGTGCTGGCATCCGGTCAAGACGTGACTCCCCAAATGATGGACTATATCATCATAGAACTCCAATGGAAAGCTCGAAACCTTCAGAAAGAAGGACTGCTTTCGATATTCGATGTCGGGGTCGTCCGCTCCGACACAGCGGTTTCGAAGGAGCTCCAAAAGGCCTTGCAGCAAGCCGTTGCTCCCCTCGAGAACATACCCGCCCATGAAAAGGATTACCACCCCGGCTCAGACCAGAAAGTTGTCGACCTCGTTCACCCTTCGCTCTTTCCACTGGTTTACGGGCACACGCGCATTCTACCCGATCGTTCGATTACGTCGGACAACAGTCTCGGCAGTATTGGTCAAGGAGTGGTCGTGCCCGTTCCGTCGGAGGAAGAGGCCAGGCCATCCGCCGAGGCAAACACTCCGTACAGAAGATGGCAGGTGGAGCAAATGCGCGCGTTCAGCCGACAATTTCAATGGCTGCCCTGCGATGTGGAATTGGGCACAGAAAGTGGCTGTCGCATTGTCTCGTACATCAACAACCTGCACCCGACAGAGCATGAGCCCCTCTACCGCGTGGTGGAGCAGATCATTGATGCGGCCATTCCGCTCTGGGAACACAGCTTGACGCAGGTTCGGGAGGAAGGAAACGAGCGCATTCCCTACCACGGGGTGTCTTATCTGCTACACCCTGACCCAGAACCGAAGCCCGAGGAAGATGAGGACTCGGACAGTGAGGAATTTTCAGAGCGCTATAATGCGTGGGAAAAGGCTCGTCCCATTGCTCTTCCGGAGCCAGGCCGCTTCAGACCCCCCGAGCCCTCCTGGAAAGGATGGGTGCACTTGCGACAGTCTTTCCACGAGACCGGACTGCAAGTGATCGTAAAACTGGCTAAAATTGAACTCACTCCGGAGCGGCCAGATTATGAGGGAGGAACATGGCATCTCGAGGGACAGCTAGTAAGCATTCCAATTTTTGGGAGTCATGAGGATCTTTTGAATCCACTAACATATATTCGGACTAGAATGAACGCATCTGTGCGACAGCCATCTACTATTACGACAGCCATAACATCACTGAAAGCACGCTGTCCTTCCGTCAACGGGCTGGGTCTCTGTACGATGTGGATTACGACCAAGATCGACATGAATTCATCCACACAGTCTATGGTTTTGGTCCCGACGTGAGCGGAAATGGGGAATCCCAGATCACCCAGCACCTTGGCAGCGTGGTCTGTCGCGAAGGGCGACTACTTACGTTTCCCAATATAGTGCAGCATCGGGTGTCACCCTTTGGCCTGGCAGACCGCTCGCGACCGGGCCATCGCAAGATCCTGGCGCTGTTCTTGGTGGACCCGCATCGGCGCATCATCTCCACCGCAAATGTACCACCGCAGCAAGAGACCTGGGCCCGCGAGAGACGGGATGCGATTCAGCAGGTGCTTGCGCCGAAATTACCGGCTGAACTACAGCAGATGGTGTCTGATAACATCCCCGCGCTTGCCATGACCCTGGAGGAAGCCCGGGAATACCGGGTGGCGCTGATGGACGAGAGACGAGCCAAACAAGGGCCGCAAAATGACGGGTTTGAAAAAGGCGACTTTTCACTTTGTGAGCATTGAGTCGATAATAGCCAGCCACTCTATATGGTGGTCTTTTCCACCTCGAATTCAAAGGAGCGTTAGCCTCCGCGCTGTAAATAAGTGTATCTGATACAGGCACCGGAGTGGCTAAGGTGCCAAGCTCTTCACTTCGGTTGTAACGGCCATTTGCACAAATTCATCTACTTTTGGTTTTAGTTGTTACCATTTACACCCTCTTGTCTCTCAATCGTCCACCCGCCCCTGTCTGTATACCCATTATTGTGCCACCCGCACCCTCGTCACCGGCCCCTTGTATGCCTTCCGAG